CTGCCGGGCAGGAAGGCTGTCATAGAACCCATCCATTGGACTCTACAGCCATCCTGCTGGAGAAATCAAAATCAAAATTTATTTTAAAAAAATCTATTTTCCTATATAGGACAGTCAGCACTGGTTGTAGAACAGATTAACCCTTAGTTATCTAACAAGATACTTTTTAAAATATGGATTAATTTGTTTAGCACAAGAAACTATTATTAAGCTTTATAAAACAAAATAGGCATGATGAATAATTGTTGTTCTGGCATCTGCTTTGAAAAACATTTTCTCTGCTCAAGAATATCATGGCTATGACAATATAATGAAGTTTTAAAATTAATGATACAAATATACTCTTATTTTTTGCTATTTTAAGTTTTAGATGGAAGGAGCCCTCTTTCAATTACTCACAAATTTTTACAGTAAGACATATTTGGCTGTACAATTCTATCTTGACTACATTTGCATTATAGTACTTTAGGGAAAATGTATTTTTTGCACTTTAAGAAATTCTTTCCATTAGAAGAGCATACATAGTTTATTTTTAAAAGTTCACACTCTCACTTACTTAATGTAATCATCTCAAATACAACTAGACAACAATTTTTTTTCAAACTTTTTGCTTTTTGAAAAACGTTTGGTCATTGTGATAGACCCTTTCAACCTGAACACATATATAGTTTCAGAATGACAATATCATATAGGAATCTTGAGAAATTTGAAGTTAACTTTTAATGACTATAATATAATTAATTGTATTATATTTCTGATATGCTCCATGAATTCAACAGGGCTAAAAACATTTTACTGCTGATTTTTGTTTGTACTCGGTGTCCGATGCATCTTGCTGCAGTGTCCAACAATAATCAGCCAGAATTGATGGATTCCAGTTGCCCTGATATCGTTTTTCCACTGTGGCAATGTCCCTGTGAAACTCTCACAATATTTGTCACTGAAGGCACCTAGATTTTCAGGAAAGAAGTCCACGTGTGAATGCAGAAAATGAATCTTCAGTGATAAGTTGCACTCTATCGTCTTGTATTCTGTAAGAAGTTTCTCAACCAGCTGAATATAGCTTGGTGCTCTGTGGTTGCCAAAAATGTTCTCTACTACATCCTTTCTCTGTGTCATTTCTCCATGAAACTTTAGCCTTAACTTGTTCTTCAAATCTACCAATGGTGCATTGATTGTCACTGTATTTGAGTCCATCCACTTTACTTTTGGCCATTCTCTGTTCTCTTTTCTTCCATCATTCTCAGCATCAGAGGTTTTTTCCAGAAAACCGGGTCTTTCCATAACATGTCTGAAGTAATATAATTTGAGCCTGGTCACTCATCTAAATAGCAGCATTGTGTGCTCAAATTTACCATACTTGATATCAAGCAGTTAAATATTCATAGTCCTCTTTCATTTTGATCAACACTGTATGTGCTTTTGAAGTCCATTTTCATGAAAATGAATGCCTTTTGAAGGTGCTCCCAATAAGTCTGAAATAAGAGGCAACGTGCAGTGATCTCTAGTAGTTATACTGTAGTTATATCTACAGTCATGTACCGTTCTAAAAGAATTATCCAACCTAGAGATGAAAAATGAGTGGCTACCAGTGTTTTCCTCTGCCCCCCTCATGCCCTACAGAATCAAATTATGATTAATTTATCTCTCTCTTATGCTTCATCCTTTACCAGGGCTGAGATATATTCACTATTTATTTTATCTCTTAAGGGTTTTTTTTCCATATCTTTGCCAGTTTTATTTCTTAGAGGTTGGACAGATCAGGAAACAGACTCATAAGTAATACTGGAACTCTATAGATATAGGCTTGGAAGCCTGGCTGCATTTCCCTTCCTCCCTCTTATACTCAAGTTAAACCAACGCTGGTTCGAGCTTCTTTCTAATATTTTCTTCCTGTCTTAGATTTAAATCATATTTTGCTAAGAGCCATTACATACTTCTCTCAAGGCTATCTCTATTATCTACTGTTTCCCTGTACAATTTTTCCTATATATTCTGCATTGGCCAGTCCATACCTAAAATATTGTTGCTAATTCTGGGGACCATATATTTGGAAGGAAATTAATAAATCAGTAAGTTTCAGGGAAGAGCAATCAAGAGGATAAAGACCTATAAAGATAATTTATGAGGAACAGTTGGAAGCAATGGATATGTTCAACACAGAGATGAACAGACTGGGAAGAAGATGAAGATGAACAGAACGTGTTCCAGAATATGGGAGGGGAAAAAAAACCTATGGGTTTAAATTACAAGGAAGAAGCAGTTGATGGACTCTCCTTTACAGCCTCCTTTAAGTATATACAGAGGCTGGATAGCCAACTGTTGAGGATACTGTAGTAGTGGAACCAACATTACACAAGGAGCTGAATAAGATATTCTTTCAACATTTATAATCTATGATTTTATGAACAATGTAACATTCATTTTCTCTGTTATAATATTGAACAGCAACAATAAGACTTCTGCTGATAGTACATTAAAAATTAAAAGGAAAATAAATTATGTATACAATATACAAAATCAGTTTCCCATCCCAAGTACCATTGTTCTACCTACTTGTGAAAGACCAACACTCAAACAAACAATGGACCTCTTTAGGGTGTTCACAGATTTTCATCTTCAAAACTCAAAAAAGTTTGATTTTTTTGGAAAATGTCAACACTATATAAACAGAACATCACTGGAATCCACTTATTATAATGTACAACATAACAAATGCCATGAAAGTGTGTGTCTGTACCTTTGAATCAATCTTGATTCCTGATGACTGCTGAACTAAACACTGCAGTTTTCTTAACGTTTTTGGAAGTGGTTTGCCATTGCCTACTTTCTTGGGCTGGAAGAGAGTAACTAGCCTAAGGTCATTTAGATGGCATCCTGCTTGAGGCAAGACTAGATCTATGTCTCCCAGTTTCTAGTCTGGTGTAACCATTACATAAAATCTGCCAGTATTTCAGCATATAATTTTAGCCACAAACTAATAACAGGAGAAAATGTCTCTAACAAAAAATGTGAGTTCTCTGTGAGGAAGCTGGCAGGATAATCAGAGGGACAAGATTGACAGGAGCAGATGTGAAGCAGATGAGACTGATTTATTTCCAAGCAGAGAATATCTGTCTCAAAGTAACAGTGACAGATTGAAAGGAAAGCTGGGAAGGCAGGTCTGAGAACAGGAAAAGTCAGAATGCTCACAAAATGATATAACAGAAACAGTTAACAAGAGAAAATCAATTTCAGTTTATTGGCCATCTGCCATAAAAAAGATAACAAAGCAGGATTATTCATCTTCAAGTGTAGATCTTCATGGCTGCTATTCACTGGCAACTTATTTCTGAGGTTATGAGACAATAAATGGATTATTAAATTGATTAAATAAATGGATTGTTTATTTTTCTTTTCAACTATAAGATAGTACTTTTTTATTATTGGCAAAGTAATAATGGTGAGTTTCCCAGTAAAGAATTGCATCAGATGCTGGAAGAATCCATTATTGTACTGGATTAAAGAATTCTTGGCTTGACTCTTTTGTTCACAAAACACACAGACAAAAAAAAAACAACAGTTCATTTCTTGCTAAAAGTCTACAGAATTTTCAATTTATAGCAGCTTATCCTTAACACTGATGTCCATGTATATTCTAAAGACTACAGCTGTAATTCTTTATCAGTATGCAATGAATTCTTCAATATGAAATGGAATATAAAGATTCATGATGCCGTTGGAGAGTGGGGAAATGAAATGTGCCTTATTTACAGGCCAATATGCTAATACATTTTTAAGACAGTGGAATTTAATATTAACAAAATAAAATGTTTTTTTTAAATATCTAAGATAAGTCTAAACACTACATCCAGTAAGATTAAACACAAACACACACCCAAAATGTTAAATGAGCAGAAATCAAAATTCAGCATTTGGACACTTTTAACAAGTCAGAATAGATAATGAAAATTCAAAGAACAATACAGTGTCTTTCTGCTTTACCCATGATTGTTTTTATGTAATTGTTTTACATGTGCATTTTTAATTTGATTATTATATGCAGAGTCACTTTGTGTAAGATGGGTGGATATATAAAAGAAAGATGAAAAGATGATGGACAGACGGATAGATAGATTCTACTGATAATAGCAGGACGGAAGTCCTGGATGGCCATAAGGAGTTATTTGTTTCCTCTTTTCTGTGTTTACAAGCAGCCCAACCCTTCTGCTATACTCCAAAGACTAATATCAGTTGCCCAAATACTTTTCTGAACTGATTCCAATTTTTTTTATTTTCTAATTACTCATATAAAGGAGAAGCACAACAAGTACTATTCTGCCAATTCTCCTGATGCCTCAGCAACTTTTGGTGCCATTGTTACTGAGTCTTTCTGACTAAGCAATTCCCAGTATTCAAATAAGAGATTTTCAAAATATACTACTAGAAAACGAACATCTACAGAAGTAAGGTTTTTGAAGCAGTGACATCTACTACATCTTACTGATGTTTGTTTTTCATCAAATTAAGGTTAAAGTACTAAAATATTGAACCCACTACTAGTCAATGGGTTTACATGTAAGCCGCTGCTATAATTATGTATCTCAAACTCAAATTGTATTCAAGAACTTTCATAGGAGAATCAGGACAAGCTGAGCAGATATAATGAAGATAAATGTAGCACAACTATTAACAATGAAGACTAATACAGCCACATATACATAGAACAAAGGATTGAATTAGGCCACACTGTTCAACCTAAAATAAATTACCATTTATTTTCCATTATTCCTTTTAAAAAGTCCTGCAGATACATTTCCCATTTCCTTTCCATTTATTTTGGATCCAAATTGACACTGCTTACATTTGTGCAATTTAATTTTATTTAGGCTTATTTATCATTGAAAAGGCTGAGCAGGGAATTCCAATACTCATTACAGAACTTATATCTTGCATAATTATTTTGAAAATTCAAATCACTACCTGAAAAAAAGTAAGAAGAACACTGAAAAGCTACTTACAGTCTCTCTAGTGATCTCAGTCCAGTGAAAGAGTTGTTCTTTAGCCATAAGATCTTGTTATTGCTCAGAATTCTGAAAAGAAATTAAAAGATTTTTTTTTGTTGGCAGAACACAGTAGCAATTTTACTCATTAAAAACATGTAATTATAGTAAGTGACAGTTCTGTTAAACACTAATCACAGTCTTTTCTGCTTCATTTACATTTCTTCTTAAGCAGCAAATAAAATCATTTGTAAACAATTAGGTCTTTAACCTGTTCCTATTTAATCAACAACTAGTAAAATAATATATGGTGCTTTAGTTCATAATGAAATTTAGAATAAAAATTTAACTCCTGCAGCTGAGTAACATGCTTAATGAATGCTTTTTTTTAGAACACATATCAATTGTAACAGTTGTTCATGAAAATAAATAACATTAAATCCCCACTGAGACATTTATTATAGGCTTGTGTTAACTGCCATGACATTGTGTTGGTTCAACATAGTATTTCATTTCCTAAACCTCCTTTCAGAGAATGTGTATTGTGAAGTTTTGTAAATTATCAGTAAATGTGGGGACAGTGCTCTCTGAGCTTGGTTGTTTTCTTGCAAGTGTTTCACTACCAGACTAGGTATCACCCTCAGTGCTGATGATGTCACCTAGTTTGGTAATAAAATGTCTACAAGAAAATAGCCAAGCTCAGAGAGCATCAGGGACCCTATCATTCAACCCTGAGCTACAAATATTTTATCAGGATCTGTAAATGATCATCCACTAAGGCAGGGTGTCAAACTGCCAGCCCACGAGCCAGATGCGTCATGCCGAAACTGCGCCCACCCCGTTGCTGGCAATGGAAAAAAAGTTGCAATACGTCGTGACACGTCACATGACGTTGCGAGTTTGACACCCCTGCACTAAGGCTTTTTCCTCCTCCATCACCACTTCCTCCTCCTCCAAATTCACTTATGTGTCAAATAAACTGACTGCAGTAATCCATGTTTTCCCTTTCTCCTTCACATATGATAGAATAGAATTTCCTTTCTCCTTCTCTTCCTTCCCTCCATTTATTTTGATGAAATAAAATCTCTACGTCTTGGAGGCTTCTGAACAGTTTCATAGTTTATGTCAAGAGATAGGAACATTATGTTTCCATGAAAAACACATATATTAGCGTACTCTTCTCATTAAATGCACAATTCTGATTATTTGCATTTCCAAGAAGGAAACTGAAAACTTTATCTCTTTTAACGGAATGATAGGCTAAGGAGTTAGAAAACCTACTGAGAAAATGGGCACAAACAGTTATAAAGAACTACTTGGACATGATCTCACTGCCTATTATATGTCCTTTAACACAGCCCATGTTATTTGGTTGGAGATATGAGATTGTTTCTGGATTTCAGATACAGTGCTTAATTTGAAAAACAAAAAGAGGAATTCCTTGGCTCAAAGTTATGGATAGGGATAATGAAGCTATACAGGAAACACCTCCAACTAGGCCATAAGCAGATGTACATACTGAATTGGCATTTTTTTGTCTTTTCTTGCTTGACAAGAGGTATTTAAAAAAAGAAAACTATCCAGCTGGCAGGAATTACTGTTAATGGAGCCATTTTAGCAATTTCCATTTCTTAAGGTAAGGCTTGGCAGTCTTTGGGGTACAAAACATAAACCACGTACTCTAGCAAGATTTCTTCCCTTGTGACTCATCTCTCTTGTTCCAAATGCATATACAAATAATGTTCATTTAGTGACTGCCTTATTTAGCAATCATTTGCACTTATGACAGTGATGGAAAACTAACTTTGCAATGAATCCTCATATTTACAATCTTTGCAGATTTTTAAAACAAAGGAAAACTGAAGATGTAAAATCATGATGTTCCACTTAGCGATTATTTTGCTTAATAACTGAGCTGCTGATCGCAATCATGGTCATTAAGTGAGGACCACCTGTGCACTTTCTCTTCCTCACACCTTTAAATGCACACGTTTCCCCTGTCTGTATCACACATACTTCCGCTACGCGCAAACATACATAATCTTCTGCTTTTCTATATGCATTACTCTTTTTGTCTCACACATTCATGCATACACACAAACTAATACATAATAAAACAAACAGTCAAGGGGACATCAAATGGAATGCTGGTTTTTACTCTTTTGAACACAATTTAGAAGAGTTGCCAGCTTCAGGGAAAAACTGAAGTCAGTTGCAGGCAGTTAGTACAATGACTCAGTGCTGGGATCCGAAAATATATAGTTCTCTCATTGCCAAAAAATATGCAGAATTATATTACTATAGAATTGGAAGTGGCCATTTACACCATCAAGTCCAACTCCTGCTCTGAAAAAGATGTACAAAGAATTCTGTAAATCATATTAAATTTAAGCTAGTTATATGAAGGGATTTGCTGCCTTCTATCTTTAGATATATTCTCAAGGTATCCTTAATTATTTTGAGGAAAAGAGAAGCTTCACCATGCTCTGTGTAATCATCTTTTTTTTTTCAATTAGACAGTTTGCATCTTTTATTGCTCTAACTTCAAATGGAATCTTGCTTAGATTTTTCAAGTAAAAAAAGTGGTAACTAATAAGAATGTAAGATGTATTGTGACCAAGTTATGAAAAAGAACATATAGTTATTCATCAAAGTATGGAAATTGTATGGTAGACTGGAAAATAATAGAAAATAATGGTAGAGTTTTGGATTACTGGTATAACAGCTGTATTTGAACATGGGGTTAGATATTTCACTGAGATATATTACACTTATGAAATAATTGGAATTCCTATAATCCTGATTTGTTCCCTTAGTTAGACTCTTTAGTCTCTAACTAGATTCAGTTTTGATTCATCAAGGACACTATAATGATTCAAACTGAAAAATTAATTCACATTTTTAACAAAACAATGTTAGGTATAAATAAATCAATGCATCGTACTGAATTTTTTTTTAATTTAACAATACTTCTATATCTTAAATTTGATTAAATATCAATAACATTCAAAACCAAGTATCAGACTATGTATTTTTTATGAAAAAGATATAACAAGAACTCTGAGTGAGCAGCAATATATTGGAGATAATTTAGAACAACAATAAAATAGTTTTAGGTAAGCCAACGTAAGGTGTGCCATTACATTTTTGAAATGTGCCTTTTCTTCCCTGATTCAACACAAATAAATGACCACAGTGCCTTCATTTTGCATACTATTATTATTCATTATAAAGCAAGGGAACATAGGAAGCATATACTTTACATTATAAAATGTAAGAGATGGTATTCCGGAGATAGTAGATACATCATGGAAGAAAAATGAAAATATGGAGAATGTAATTCAGTTGCCTACAGTATATACAATAAAAGTTTGAGGTTATTACAAAAGATACAATGTAATAAGATGTTCTATATGTAGAACAGACTTGGTATTGCTGAGAGTAGATCTTGAAAAGAATGGACATGGAAGAAAAGGAAATATATGAAACAAAGAAAAATACGAGTGTAGGTTTACCTAGATTTACAGAATAAATAGAAAAGCAGGGGGAAGGAAGGAAGGAAAATTATGTCTAATGAATGGTAGTCATTTGTCAGCAAGTAGAATTGAAAGACAGATTTCATGCCGGCATTTTTATGAAACAGAACTCATAAATGCTGAAAAATGATAAAGTGGTAGGCATGGGTGATAAAGTTTAAAATATTTTAAAATCCTGGCTTATGAGATGGCTTTGTGATTTGTTTACCATGTAGGGAGACCGCTTCTGTGCTTGTGAATAGGAAGAATGTTATATTTTTCTACTGTGCCAACGGAAAGCAAGAATGAAAACTAATACTGCAAGCAGATTAGATGCAAATAAATAACATTTGAGAAATGAAGTGAGGCTTTATAACCAGGCAGAAGATGCAAACATGCACACCAGGTTTTTCTTCTTCAGCAATAAAAGTACACAAATCTACGTAAGGAAGATATTTCTCTCTTAGTAAATGTCATTCCGAGGAACCACAGGGTCAGGCCTTTTTAGTTGCTGCCTCACTTCTATAGAACAGCACTCTGCTTGAAATTTGAGTGGCCCAACCTTGCTGAGATTTACAAAAGCCATTCAAACTTGGAGGTACCAGCAGACTATGGATATGGATATGGTATAAATCTGTTTCTTCCTGCAGTTTGTTTGATGGTAATTGTTCTGAGGAGCTTGAAATGGACATAGCAATATGTTGTTCTAATTACTGTTTATTATAATTTATTTAATATGTACACTGTCCAATATTATTACTTCTCTATTATTCAACTTGGTACAGTATGTAAGCTGTTTAGAATTGGTAGCAATTGGAGCAACATACAACATAAAATAAAATCTGAAAAATATCTTTAATCTTGCTTTAAAAACATAAGAAGTATATAACAGACCTTAAAGCCTGAAACCAATGATCTCTTTCTTCAAAAAAAATATCAAATGCATTCAAAACCACAGGAGTTTTGGGGGCAACTATGACATTTATATTGGAGGGCTAACAACTGATTTAACAAAATATATTTTTATTCAGCTGTTTTTGGTAAATTAAACTTTTCCTGTACTCTTTCAGAAGTTTTTAAGCTATCATAAGTGATTCAGCATACCTACCCTACTTTCTGTCCATATTTTCCCCAGAAGGAATCTTCTGCCATTTTTAAATAAAGTTATAAATCATACCAATTTTTCATGTTAACTACAATCAGTTTTTAATTTCTTATTCATCAACACCATCATTCTTATCTATTATAAGTGTTGGAAATAACAAAGAATTTCTATTATACCTAGAATTATATTTGCCAAAATTTCAAAGGTGTCAATAATAACTTTTAAATTGGGTCAACATTTGTAGTTATTCTGTATCATTTTCATTTCAGAAACAGTTTCTAAATTATACACCAAATGTTATAATTTAAAGTGGAAATATTACAGTATCAATTTTCACATAACTTTGAAAGAGAACTCTGACATTTGATCATTCTATAGGAATGTATTTATAAATTTATATAATTGACTAAATATATTAAGTAGAATTAACATAGCTAACCTTCTAAGCATGTATAGCAATATCAGGACTG